CGTTTAAGGTGATGAAGGACTGGTAAAAGAAGAATTTTCCCACAATGATATGAGTAGAGTTGACGTTTTCATTGAATTCAGCTACCAGTCCTTCATCATCTTAAACAAAATTGGGTGAATACATCTCATACTACTGATTTACTGGCAGTCACGAAAACGATACTTAATTCGAAAAATAAGAATACTATTATGAGATGTATTTACCCAATTTAGTTAAGGTGTGAAGGACTGGTAGCTAGATTCAATGAAAACGTCAACTTTACTCATATCATTGTGGGATTTTCTTCTTCTACCAGTCCTTCATCACCTTTAACGAAATTGGGTGAATACATCTCATACTACTGATTTACTGGTAGTCACGAAAACAATACTTAATGCGAACAATAAAGCATACGTCAGCCAACCAATGCCCCATTCAGATGGCAAAGTGAGCTACAAAGAGTAAGTAGAATCGCAGCTGGCCATATTTCTCGGTTTAGCGTTTTTGGTGGGGATTGTTCGTGAATAATGGCCTCTGGCGCTGACGATGTCCAGCGCAGGATGGACAAAAGCTGAGCACGGAGCCATCGGCGTTGTAGGACGGTGAGGCGAGGTTTTTTTCTACAATTCTACAGACAAAAGACCACGGCAACCCTCCCACGGTATCCGGTAGGGCTAATCTACGAATCCCTTGACCCGCATTCTCAAACCGAATGAACGGTACGCCAGTTTCGATCTATCAAGGGATTCTTTGAAACGCAGCTTCTCTTCATATCTTCAAACATGAGTTTCAAGCTTGGGGCTTTCCGTGAAATGCGTGCAAATGTGTTCTGCCGCCCTGAACATGTTGACTTCTGGCATGGACGGAGTAGGCACGACGGAGCTGCCTTCGAGGTGGAGGAGAATGGGCTGAAGACCGCTGGAGCCAAGAGGAGAATTGTGTGGGGCGACATGGCGGCTGGCATATCCTGTCGTCTGTATATCATCGTTGATTAGAACAGATCCAAGAGGTTCATCTTCGCCCCTGTTCACAGGAATCGGGTAGAATGGCAAAATTGAGAGGGACAACTAGTTTCTATTTGTCAACTGCAAGCAATGCAGATGGGGAAAGTTTGGGACGCAAATCTTTCTGTAGCCGGTCATCCTCTTCGTTAGTTGGGCGAAATGCTGAAAATATTTTTTTCATTGCTGCCAGTTATAAAGAATTCATCCATAAAATACACTATAATCGTGCGAATTAGTCATTTAATTGTAGAAAATTCCACTCTCCCTCGTTGCATTGCATTAAACAACTTAATCTGACGCGAAGTATTACTCAAGATCTACTGCAAGTCTCGAGACCTCATCCTTCTGTCTTCTAATTGGCTGTGGACCATTTTTGATGTGAAAATAATAATCAAATTAAAATGAATAATTTCGAATAATTATTCAATAACAATTAGCACAAACAGACAACACACAATGGCTACGAATCAATATCATTACGGGTTGTTCTCCGTATCCTCCTTAACTACGGCTACCTTGAAGACGATTTTATATAATAACTGCCCAGCACACCTACAATTGAAATGAAGATGACTCTTAAAAGGGCCAATTCGAGCAAATATGAGGCTGAAAATGGAGTAAAAGTTGGCAACCATTTGGCTTCAGTACATGAAAGGACCACAAAAGGATAGATGATCGTGTTTAAAAAACAAAATGGCAAAATCTGAACAGAAACGCCAAGAGGCCCCGGAAAAGGTGACCTGGATGACAGGGCGACAGAATAACTAATGAGACTCTATCTGACAACACTCAAAAGGCTAAAACTCTACCACAAATTGAAGTGACAAAAGTGCAAAATTCGCTTCCAAGTTGGCCCTGACCTCTTCACGACTGATTTATTTGGTCTACCCGTTGGCTTCAGTCCACGTTGTAGCACAGCTTCGATAAAATCCCCAGATTCAAGCGTTTGAAGAGAGCCATTTTAGAGATCTTCTCATAGAGCCAATTACCAAATGAGATTCTCTGAGTATCCAAAACTGCATATAGAACATCCAAGGAGAATTAAACAAAATGGCAGTCCAAGATTAGTCAAAAGTGCAAACAAGGAAGCTGATTGCGAAAATTCCCAATTAAAAACATACATCTATACCACACAATAATCATAGACAAATATACATATAAATATATGAATAAAAAAAATATATGTATATATATATATTGTATGCTAAAAGCAGTAGTATATAACTTGGTTGCATAAAAGGCATCTTTTAAGATTCTTGCGGTTCCATTTTATCATCTATAGCAAGTATCTGGCAGAATATTTTGCAGGATCAACGAAATTTGCCTGTTTAAACGAATGCATTTATTTAAAATCGGATTGTGATGGACATCGATGATGTCAATTCTATTTCATACATAAAGCACAATACAGCATGATAAGCATTGAGCAAGCAACCATCTACCCGCAGAACATATTATATCTCATGCCGGAATTCGCTGATACATACTTTGCTCCTCTGCTGCTTTAATTGTTGCTTCAACTTCACACTAAACAAATGTAGACATCGTTCACAGATAATAGATCGGGCAAGATGTATTTCTCGGCATTTGTACCTTTTTTTCTGCTTTCAACACACCTTCGCTTATGGTGCCCGTAAAACTCACAATCGCTTCTGAAGTAGGCTTATGGTGGTTCCTTGCTTTCCACAAACTGGGGCTTGATTGTCAATAGCGAATTGCAAATGGCAGCGGAAACCAAGCATACAGTTCGGCTCTACAAACCGATGTCCACAAACCTGACTTTGCCGAGCTGAGACGCAAAATGGTGACCTTTAAGCCGAGAAGCTGACTTCCCATTTTTTGGGGATTGTCAAAACGAAAACTTGATACTTTAAGTGAATATTTTCCTTAAAACAGAATCAGCAAAGTGTTTTCCCTCATTCACTCATTTAAAGTTTGTGAAGAATTGGATAATATTGCAATTTTTATCATGAAATTGTGCTACAGCATTGAAAAGTCGGGTAAAAATCATACCTGACCTCGAAATGTTCATAATTCCTTTTTGTCATTGAAGCCTTCAAGCGTAAAACTTTGAAACACACTTTGGAACAACTTTGTGCTATTCTGCCTATAAGGAATTGTATAAAAAAGAATTATTAGTATATCTTGAATAAGAATCTCAAACACTTTTAGGTGATTGAGTATCATGCAAGGATGATAATTTAAATGTCTTGTAGCAAAATGACGGAAGCTATGGCCTCCGCTGGATCTCATTTGCACTACCGATGCGATTGAAAACTACTTGAGATGACTTGGATTCTTGTTATAATAGCGGAAGATGAAATTTCCTCTCCATAACTTTGCGCCTGATTTGCAGCCTTATCTAGTTTCATTCTATTTCAAAACTTATATTCATTATTTAAATCCGTTTTCCAGGCATTAATGAACAGTGAATTGGAACCCATATTAATTTATTTAATTATTGAATAAGTTACTGAATAAACCGATTGCTCATTATTAGTACACATTTGATTGTTGCTCTAATCGAATTCAATTTTATTTAAAACGTTTAATTAATTAATAAAAAATTGACTTGGATAGAGCCCAAAACAAATTTATATTGATAGTAAACAATCATTGTATTAATTAAACGAATTAAGATAGCCTCAAATTTTCTGTTGATTAGGCAATGGCAAATGAACTTAATGGAATAATAGTTATTAAATGGAAAATCTGCATAAATGCGCTCAGTTAATACAGCCGACACTAAAAGCGTATGTATACCACTTGATAATGCAGGCCGGTGACTTAGTTACTCAATTGGCCTGAAGACGAATTGAGGCGAGCCATAGCAACATGTTTGGATAGCACTACTCATTTTGCCACTACTCATATTGCCAATTGGGCTATTCTTAACCATTTCGCCTTCTAACCTCTAAGTCTTTCAGTCCGGTTACCAAGTTTGGAACAAGAGATTAATGGACCGGTCACACCAGAAAGCCAAATGAGAGTGGCATGGAGTTTTCGTGTTTTCTCGTCACGATCTTGTCGAGTTGGGCACGAAAGTCGTCTGCGAATTTCCCAACCGTCTAAATTACCCCACCACCCTCAGATAAACTCAGCAATGGAAGTCATACTTGAACACCACCTCGTAAAGGGTATGAAATGTAGATGCAACCTATGAATGGGTCTTTTCTGCCAAATCCACGATGGCTAAAAGAAGAGCGAACACCCGGAAAGTTCAAGGGATCTTATGAGGCTAATCTTTCAATTTTATTGAGTATTTAAAGAAATTACTTATAATGAATTTTTTTATTTCATACTTTTATGCAGATTTATTACGCCCTGATTTAGATATATTTAAGAAACTCTAAAGTTCAAGACATAGTAACTATTCTCAGCATTATCAATAAAAAAATTCGAAGCTGTTTTGTTATCAAACTGGCCCAAAACTATAAATTTGAAACTTTTTTTAGGTTCCCCTTCCACAAAACTTGGCCTTTCGTGATCGTGGTAATGGAAAATGTCAGGTAATTAATTTAATTCTCCTTCTAGTCTATTTATTTATTATAAACTAATTTATTTCTGCAAAACTTTAATTTGGTCTCTTAATACGACGGTTTAAAGTAATCTTTATTTTTTTAACTGAATCCTTTCTAAATTATGTTTTACTTGGCTCGGAAAGACAAGATTAATGTGTTGTGCTGTAGCCTAATTGGCTGAAAAGATACTTTCCTTCCATCTGCAAGGTTACCTGAAGATACCGGACAGGAGCGACACATTGACTTAATTTCTGGCACGATTCCTTTAACTCAGAAATACCATTAACTGAATGCTGCATGCAGACAAGAGCCAGATTATGCCGTCAGACACTTGACAAATAGAAAATATCTCCACCGACTAGCATTCTTGTGCATTTTTCGGCAACCACGCATAATTTAGCTTTTATTCTCTTCCATTTCAATGGCAGGACATACACGCATAAAACGGTTGACAGTTCGTGGCATTGCTTTCCTTTATTTGATGAGAATAGAATAAACTATTCACTTCCACTCCAAGAGGCAGTGTTTCTCATTGATTCAGTAAATGAATAAAACTTGAAACGAAACCACTCGAACCTCTTGTTCACTATACCGCATCGGCATTTGTACGAATGTATAATACAGAATAACTGGTCGCAACGTATAGTTAGAACAGCTAATGTGTCAAGCGTCCAGTCTGAAAAGTACTTGTAAAGTGACAGACATAAAGAAGATGTAAAATTATTTTTCACAGATTTTAAGATAATCCTCATTAAGTGATTGTTTCTAAGCAAGCATACTCTTTTGTAGTAGGCACGAAGACTAAGAAGTTGGTACCTCTGTTTTGGTTGCAGTCTCCTTTCGATGCATACCAATTATGTGACCTCGCTTTGACAACTTTGTCGCGAACTGGTTGCACGCATCCAGTCAGAATTGCTGAGCTATGGCAGTTGTGATAATTCCCAGCTTCGGACCGTGGACTTGATACATTGCCAGCCGTTTCGC